TGAATTCGAGAATTCGTACCCCCTTCTATATATTCTTCTTAAATCCTGATTATGTTGCTGCTCGCTCGCTACGCTCGCTCCGCAGCAACTACGAATAAGTTTGCAATGGTACGTACCCAGGTCTCTCTCTCCAACGCAGACATTACTGGGTAGGAGTACATAAGAGGCAAGAATTTCAGTCTGTTATTGGTCAATACGGTGCATTTTCCGTGGTTTGTTATGTTTCTTTTAAAACGGTTGTTAAGTGGAAACTCGACCAAGGTTTTGAAAATAAGTCTTACAGGATGAGGTGATAACTAACATGAATTTGGGTAAAATAAAATGAGATACATAGCTACAGGTTAAAATTGTTCAACTATGATATCATTATTTGCATTCAAAACAAACAAGATAAGATGTTGAATATCAATATTTAATCCAAAGCTTGAAACATTAAAATTCTCCTTGATTATTTCGGTATATTCCTGTAAATTTCAGTTCTGATAATTCAGCGTAAAATCAAGACAATATCCCCAGGCTAAATGAGGTTTGTCTTTATCCTCAGTAGCTTCTAATTTACATTGCATTTATTTTGTAAAAAGATTTTTTCTATCCAAGGAAAGCCCCTCCCCTCCCACCTCCCAGCCCTCTTAATGTTATATGAGCTTAAACCAGTTGATTGTCACGACAAATTAATCTACTAGAATCTTTTAGTGCTCTACTTTAAATTCGCAAGTTTGATTGGATGTATAATCGTTAACCATTTGCGGATATACCATTATAGCATGCTGGCTGTTCATGAAAAAGAAACACACCGGGGGAGGGGGCACTCCCCTTTTAAGCTAGAAGAGTGAGCTACTCTAAAGGTTGTGGGGTTTGAGCATTTTTTGGGGGAGAATTTGTCATTTCTGATCTGAATTTGAGCAGGAGATTTACTGAAACTACGAATTGTGTATCGTCTATGTAGCTAGAGAAGACATGTCTGTTGATACGAGAAAGCGTGATTTATTTAGGCCGTTAAACAGTGACGTGTCAAAAGGGTGTTAATTGAGGTACCAGATTTGAAAATGCGAATGAAATTTGACGTATTTTGGTGTGACATAAGTTCAGGAATTACTTAACTGGGCGTCACCGCCCTCCACACCCCTACGAACCGACTCGGGTAAAATCATTCACTGCATTCCCTTTCCTTATGGTGCTTACTAAAACAGTGGAACTACTCGCTCTTGTCTTGTAATTAAGAGCGAATAGTCAATACATGCCTCGATGACTATAACCTCTATTAGAGAACACTAACTCGTAGAATTGCTAAACATTAAGGCCCTTAAGATTGGAGTCACGCGTAACATGATGATAGAGAACAAGTAAGATTTTTGATGTTCCAAACAGTAGTTTCCAGGACCCTCGCTCTTTATGCTGGTTTTAGGTAGAGAGGGTAGCTCATGGGATGGAATGGGTACGTGACGTGATAATGTGAAGCCTGCAACGAAAATAAAATTGAAAGTCTCTTTCGTACGTACTTGTTCTCGTGCTCGTACCCAAATAATACAGTATGTTGCTCGCTGTAACCAAAAGGACACATTTTAAACCGAGGATCGAGATTAAAATATTGATTCGCCAGACTAATTGCCCCATATTTCTTTAAGGTCAGCTCGCCGGAGGGTTATATTTTTTATTGTTCGATTTTTTTTTTTGTCAGTTTGTTTTTTTAGTCTTGAGAAGTAGAGGCACCTCCACAAAGTACCCTGTTTTGATGACTTCCGTTGTTCTCGTCACTCGTCTGCTTGATAATGTGAGGGTTTTGTAAGGGGAAATTAGAGGCCGATCAATTTTGGGAATGAAAAACGTCGGGAGAAAGTCTACCATTGAAACCGTCACTATATGCAAGGGCTGTGTGGGGTGATGAGATGAGATGTGGGGTGATGTCCTCTTTTGTTACATGATTTTTATCTGTTTGTCAAGTCAAAATACATTTCCCAGTGCACGTGCGTTGCACTTGATGGAACACACGTCACATTCTCACGGGGTATGATCCACTTATTCAAAGAAAAATGAGTTTCGATGACGTTTTAAGAAAAAAATTACAGCAGCCTGGAGGCTGGGTATTGTAAGCTGTGTTGGTTGCTATGTTTGGTTTTCCCTACTTGCACATGTGTCGATAAATATCTCCAAAAACTCGACTAATTTTGCGGGCGTGTGTCTTTGTTTGGAGACGAAACGCTTTTGATAAGGTTTTCAGGCTTTTATCGTAGAGGAAAACGATTTCAAATGGGTAATTAGATATTTGACGCTAGTAAATACGTTGATTTATGGCCTTCTTGAGGGGGCTTATGTCAAACTAACGTGCAATAACGTTAGAAGATGCGATTTTCTCTTCATCTGCTGACTATCATTCTAGAGTGAAAATGAGAACAGAACATATTGCACATTCTCCACACCACTGTAATCATTTTTTTTTTTTGCCCGAACATGATTTCGTGGCAAAACCACGAGGAAAAATCGCCCCTTAGCCTCTCCTTCTATTCTTGACTATTTTCTTGAATAAAAGAGGGATAAACAACAAGGACCTTGCGTATCAAAGCACAGTACGTAAGCGTTATCTATGGATTAAGGAACAGTTTAATGATAGGAGAGCCAAAGAGCTTGTGACTGGAGCCTAAAGTCTAAAGATGCTTAGAGAGGTTCACACGTGGTAGCATTGTGGCTTGTGTCATTATAGTTAGGTTACCTAAGAAATGAACAGATTTGTCGAGGCTTATTAATTGCCAGGCATTGTTGACTAGATTCCATGCACATCCCAATGACAATGTTTATTACACAGTGAATATGGGGTAAACGTGCACAGACAATTGAGTGGAGCCTCCACCCCAACCGGTTTTGTGTTGCGAGATAAAAGCGAAGATGCTAAAGCTCTAATCGCCTGAAAATATCAATTATTCACCATTTGGGAATCTAGACATGCACCTTTTGTTAGGGTTAAACAAAAGGCTCTTTTTCACAAAACATGTTGCGATAGCAAGTTGGAAATTTCAGCTCGATAGAAGCGTGCAACCTTGTACACGCCGCACGGTTTGTGATTAGCAAATTCAGCCTGATTTTCGCCACCACTGCAATATTGGACCGCTTAGATCGCACAAGATAAGAGGTTCTTTACGGAAAAACGGCTTGAAAGTGAAAGTAAGGCGATTAAAATGTCGGACTATAGCAGTTTTTTCAAGTCACAATGGATTACAGTGCTTTTTCTCTCTAACCTACTTTCGTTCAGTTTTGTTATTTTAATAAGTAATCTTGACACTACATTCATTAATCGAAGTGTGTTAGTCATTGAAAAATGTGTTAAAATACATAATAACCCGTAGTAAAATTAACTTCAGCGCGTTTCTTTAATTTAACAAGAAAGAGAAACGTGTGCTTCAAGTCTTGACACAACACCAACACTTTTCTTCGCCTTTCCTTGTAAATTTAAATATTCGGCGAAATGCAAATTAGATTCTCGGCCAGCTATTGACAAAGACATGTGGCTAAATTCTGCTCGGAAGCCGCGAAAGGGTTTGAATTTTATGCACGAAAGTTCAAATTCAAAGTGTTCACTTCGAAAAAGGTGTTTTTTTCGCGGGTAATTCTGCTATGCGAGGAGAAAACTTGAATCTTCGCGCATGCGTACTGTACGTGAAAATCATTGCTGCTCTAAGTTTTCTGTTCATTAGATACAAATAATTCGCGTGAGTTTGTTTGAATCTCGCTTTGAGAGTACCATGTTTAGTCCTGACTACCTGAACCACTTAAAAAAAGAATCTTTGCGAACGTTAAGTACAAATATCAGTAGCGTGTTCAGTTTTGTTTTTCTTTTGGAAGAAATTTGTTCTTTTGTGTTCAATTACTTTTTGTAAAAAAAAAAAAGAATTTCAATGCGACTGAGGTGCCCAATATTCGATTGATAGGTTTCCTGAAAACAGGCCTGGCTTGCCTCGTAGTTAATAAAGGAATTGAAGGATATTAAGAGATGAAAAATCGTGCCTCTGTTTGTTTTGACAAGTCTTTTCTTCTTACCTTGTGAGGAATCCCGTCAACAGACCAAATTTATTATGTAATTTGCCGGTGTGACAAACATAGCATGGCGGTCGGTTTATGCAAAGGTTTGGCTAATTGGTTTTGTACTTTATTCTGTCACTCTTTTGTAAAACTGTGTAACACAGGCTGGAGTGCACACCGATAAAAGAACCACACGAGATTAAAATCTTGCTCATTTGACAACAACACATCGCCGAGCACCGGTGCGACACACAGGTCAGTAATGGTGCTTTTTTTCCCTTTGCATCACCATATAATTTCCTTATCGAATCCGTATCTAGCACAAGGTTCACATCTAGATATTTCGTCTTTTTTTCGTCAGCTCTGACTGATTTATTATCTGTTGAAATCGTTCTCTTTATTTCAGACTAAAATGGAAGATATCTTTCACGGTGGTTTTTACAGTGAAGCGGCTTTTGACAACGCGTTTACGGTGGACGCCTTGACTCCGGAGAACCGTTCCGGGTTTGGCCTTACCGAGCAGCAATTGAACTCGCTTGTCAAATACAGGGAGGTCGATTACCCTTCGACAGCCAACACTATGCGATACCACGAATTATCCGCATACCCGTACGAGAAAATACCGGAAGGCCAGACTTCAAGTGATATGCTCCAAAACGGAACAACAACTGGGTTAGAAGTATTGGACGAACTCTGTTTGTCGAGTAACACCTTGGATGATACACGACGCTCGGAAGCACCACAAATTGACGGCTGCACGAGGCAAGGCCGCGGACAGCCATTGAAAAAAATGCGGCGCCTTCGTGCGAACGACCGCGAGAGAAGAAGAATGAGATCGCTGAATAGAGCGTTAGAAAGCCTAAAAAAATGTCTACCCGTGCCGCAGAGTAAACGGCGGGTCACAAAGCTGGAGATCCTCCGGATCGCTTGTAATTACATCCGATCGCTTTCCGACACTCTGAGCGAAGATTCGCGAAGTAACGACAGCCCAAGCCGAGGAAGAAAGTCGAGATCCCGCGGGATTGCAGGTGATCCCGTTGTAAACGGGTTTTCCGTAGCTCAAAGGCTAGAGATTCTATCTGGAAATAACACAAACCGCATTTAAAGGGACGAAATTCTTATGTTTACCTAATGACTGTCTATAGTTTGCATACGTGTTTAATTAAATAACTTTGTTTTGAATTAAACCAGAGATGGTCGAGTCTGTTCTGGTAAACAAGAATGCTTTTTATTATTGCTCATCTTCACAAAACATAAGGTGTGTTTTTGCTTCTTTTTTCTCAATCAAAAACACACCGCGAACACTCGCGAGTCTTCGCGAAAGGCGCTAGTGACGTCATCTTGCTGACGCCAGAAGAAATCGTCTTGTTGCTAAGTAACTACTTCTTTGACTAAAACCGCTGGTTAATTTAAGTTCACTAAATTAGTATATCTAGAAGTTCGCCTATAAGACCCCTTTTACGCACATATACATCGTATCTAATTCATTGGAACTTAATCCATGACATTATATATTTTTATGACATTATTTTGTCCTAAATTTTAAATGTAGTGGCGAAAATATACCGTCTTTAAACTGAAACCGTAATCGAAGAACACGGCGCTTGGCTGTTCGTTTTGTTGAGTGGCTTTGCATATTATGTAAAAAAACCCCAGTTAAAACTGGCATCTATATTGATAAATAAAACAATTAAAGTAATTGTTTAATTAATAACGAAGGGATGAATGAAACATTTCATATGCGTGGTTCTCTTTACAATGCCAGTAAGATGACACAAAAGTTTGAAATAATGCTGAACATTATTTTACTTCGCCTAAAACCTCGGACTTTTCTGCGGGAGAAAAAACTCAAAAAAACAATGACGAAAAGCCCCGTAATATGTTTAAGACACTATAGTTATATTCTACGTGGGGTTCCACATTAATTGACGATAGATAAATCTAAGCTTTTAGCGAGTTGCTCCCATGATCAAGCGCAAAAATCTCCAAATGCTTAATTTAATTGATTAATATCTTTATTCTCATCACCTGACATATTATGTTAAGGAGAAATTATTCAAGGATCACTCAAACAACTCGCACTTAGCACTTCACTGTACTTGAATAAAATCAATAGCTTAATCCATTGTGTCAACACAATTCTAAGCCGTTTACGGTGCTTTTCCCACAATGGCAGAAAACTGTTAAGTGCACCTATCGCTTGCTTTTTCTTACCGCAATTATTATTTAAAACCAAGTTGCCATTGTGGTTATTGACATCTTTAAGTGCAGTTAAAAGAATGGTCTTTTCCAACAGCATTACTCCAGCATGCGTGTCAATGTAATCGCCTCTAATAAGCATATCTAATTTACACGTGATGTTTTTGTAAGGGTACTTAAGAAAGCTTGAAAGCATATTTCATAGGCTTTCCTGCAGGATAAACGTAAACATGTCAATTAAACTTATATATGATACTTCTAAAAACGCTATAAAAAATTAAAAAGCGAAGTATTTGAAAGTTCTATGAAAAGGAGAATTAGATAAGATTAGAAAGGAACTAGACAAAATCGTTACCAGTTTTTTTCTCCACAAAATCAAGTTTGGTTTAGATAGACGCGTGTTAGAGTGACAACGTGTTCCATGTCATGATCAAAATGATTAAATCCATCATCTCTGTTGGTCATTCATAACTGGTTTAATTTAACTACTGAATTCCGTCGTTTTGTGCTTTGTGTTTTAGTGTTAACATGTAGCGATCTACCGTAAACTGCCGCTTATTACAGGCCCATCTATCCGTAAATCAAAAAATACATCCGCGGTTATAAGTCCCCTCGGATATAAGCCCCCTCGGATATAAGCCCCCTCTTGTTTTCCTTGTTTTGAATCCGTGTTATTAGGATGTTTTAAACCAAATTAAAAAACTATTTCAATCAACATGTGCAGCTATAGCTCGTTCCGAAACGGTATTTTTTCCGGTTATAAGCCCCCTTGGATGTAAGCCCCATCGGATACATGCTCCATCGTTTCGATCCGTTTATAAGCCCATCTAAAAGCCGTTACGAAGTTGTATAAGCTCAGAGATTAGGATTAGAAGTGAAAGTTAATGGTATGTTAAAAAATTTAGTTCTGAATTACAGTGGAACTCCGCTTTGCAACTGCAGCGCCGTTATTGCAGTAATTACTTTTTTTTGTCCCAAAAATTGTTCGATAATTGTTCAACCAACCATGCATTCGGAGACGCCAACCTTAATTTACCTTTGCCCGCAAATGAAGGAAAAAAATTGTTTTGTTCTATGATCTGATAAAGTCGACGGTGAGTTTTGAATTAAAATGATGCCTGCTATAAATCTATCCATGACTATATAATATGTCGAATTGTTCTCACATTCTGATTGGTTCTCAATTGTGACCCATTGGAGACGTAGAGATGACTTCATTAGAAAGTTTTATTTGTTTCTTTATTGAGTAAAAACAAATAAATTCCATGTTTCCGTGCGTTTGTTCAGTTATAGACTGTCAAAATGTGGTAAGAACATCAGTGACACACTCGGCTCATGTGCCAATTTTTTGTTCTTACTACATTTTGACGTCATCTGTGCAAGTGATTTTGAGCAGAAAGCTGCGCAATACGTTTTCCCGCTCTTACATTCGTGACTGAAAACGATTGACCGAGACGAAATATCAAGGCCAAGGAAGTAGGCAAGAACCTTCCCGTTTAACTTCAAGCTAGGAAAAAAAGCTCGTTGTACCATACCGCAAAGCATATCAATTTGGATTATTGTTCACTTGAGTGCGTCGCCGACAATAAAGGATAACTCCAGACAATAGAAGATTGTTTGGTCTTTTGCATTTGAAACCTAGCAGTCATCCAGTGACATAACTAAACAAAAGAAATTGTGAAATGAGCGTGTTTAATTTGGCGTTTCAAGTCCACAAGAAAACTCAAACTAATGTAATACCAAAAACAAAAACAAAACTTTAAAAGAAAAATATATCGCGTCCTGGCAACCGTGTTTAAAATGTGAGCTCTGTAAAAAAGGCCTCAGGGGCGATCATTAAATTCGCACATTACAAATTGCTGATTTGTTTCATTTCAAACATTGTAAACTTCTCTGAATCGATCTCAGACTTTGTGCTATCCTTGTACTTCTCTGCCGTTCTACAGCCAGAAGTTCTTAAAAGCGTTCTTTAAAATCAGTCTCATTTGCAATATTTGTGGCTGTTTTCCGCGTATCGTGCAAAGATCGATTCTCTCGTTCTTTTCATGCCACGTGCGATCGAGATAATAAATAGTTACCACGCCTAGACAGATTTATGCGTAAAAGCACCTAAAACAAACCTTAGAAACGATTTAGACTGAAATTGCGGCAGTTCTATATTTAATACGGAGGACGACTTATGAGCCTCCAAGAGCGAAATATATTTCCATCAACAGTTCTTTACAGAACTATCCTCACCCGGACGATCACACAGGACGAACTAGTTTTTATATCGTTTCTAAGATATTTTTTTAAGTGCATCGAATGTGTATAAATACGTGATGACTTGGTCTTCTCGTTATTCTACCAGAATCTTAGCCTCGGCGTTGAAAAAGTTTTAGAAGTGAAATTAATCTGCACAAACTGCTATTTCCTTTTGTTTGTCTGGGTCTTACTGATTCACCATCTCAGTCACGGTATTTTGAGTAATTTTGGCCAAGTACAAAATCCCTTTAAATTGAAGGAAAACTGAAAATAGTAGTTTACTAAGATAGAAAAACACCAAAGAGATAATAATAAACCATACAGGAACAAGGATGGTTAAGGGTGGAGAAGATTAACACGGATTACAAATGATGAACTTGAAAACTTAAGGCTAAATTTATCAAGATGTGCAAACTGTCACGCAGTTCCTTTAATAAAATAACAGTGCACATCTTTCCTTTGTTTTAACGCCGTTCAGTTTTTCTCGCTCTCTCTGCAGCCTTGTGAAAACGCATCAAACTTAGCGCTTCGCTTCCGCGCGTCGCTTTTCAATAACTCGTGTCGAGTCGAGCAAGGAACACAAGTTTCAAAACTCATTATTTTATATCGAGCTTAGTCTACAAAGAGTTTAGAACGGAGAATTAAGCACACCTCTTGGCAATCTTCGTTGCTGTGTGATATTAGATAAAACTGGTCCGTAATGCTCTTCATCATAGAACACAGGTAACATTCCAGAGTCCAGGGTCCAGTCCAGATTAGACTACGTGAAACCGCCAATCCCTTCAGTATCAGCCGAATGGGCAACACGCGAAAATGCGCGAGGAGACGCCACGCGCGGGGTAAAAAGAGTCAATATATTTTCACGTAGATTGGCGAAGAAATTAAGAAATTATAAACAAGGTTGTGTTTATGTACCATCTATCAGGCTCTCGCTACTAACACTGGGTAACATTAAAACAACATTCACACAACATTAACGTAAAGAACAGGTTTGGGAGATAAAGCTCTAGAGTGAAAGTTTATGGCTGAGACATTGTTATTGTAGATGTGTACAGCAAGCGCCTAAGTTCTGTATTTCTTTCGTAACCGGTCAAAGTCATCACTGGTCACAAAGTTCTGTAGTGAAAAGGAAGCTTGCAGCTTGGAGAACAGTTGTTGAAGTTCTGTTGAAGAGAAAAGAATGAATGAATTCTCAGGACGAACCTTCTTTTAAATAAAACTCAGTCAGTCAGACAGTCAGACAGTCATACAGTCGGACCATCAGTCAGAAAGTTAGACAGACAGACAGACAGACAGACAGTCGGTCAGTCAAAAAGGACGAGCTACTCACTCTAATATCGACTGCAGAACGTCCTCACCTTTCTTCTCCTTAGAAGACATAAACAGCAACACCATATCAAATCGTTCTACGTGACTCAGCTGTTCAAGGATGTCCCACGCCAAGTTTTCTTCTCCTAGTGAAATACATTGATCGTTAGATTTTGTTTGGTTCCTACAACAACACCAAGATTTGTTTCCTCTACTGTCGATTTAATGCCAGTGCAATGCTTGAGAAGAACACACAGTTTACACTGAAACTAGCAGTTACCTTGTGGCACAATTTCTTGACTGAGTGCTGCAATAATGCCATTTAACATCGGCGCATCGAGCTTGTTACTAAGAACTGAACAATAAAACAAAATCATTGTAGAAATCATATAGAATGCAGCACACTTCACCCGCACAAGAAAGCCTCTGGTCATAGCTTGCGATGCTAATTGCACTATCCAGTTTCACACCTCGCTTTTCAACCTCTTCCTTTCTGTCAGCCTCCTCTGTACCTTTTCCCTGTTATTTCCTTCCTTCCCTCTCTCCTTCCCTTTCCCTACTTTCTTCTATCTTTTCCCTTTGCTCCTTTTCCGCCTTTTGTCTTCTCTACTCTCACTTTCCTTTCCATTCACTACTTCTTCCCCTTTTATCCCTTCCTTTTCGTTCTCAATCCTCACTCTGCCCTTCCCATTCCGTCCCGTCCCGTCCCGTCCCTTCCTCTCCTCTCCTTTCCCCCGTCTCTTGTCTCCTCTTCATTTGCTCCATTCTTCTTTCTATCTTCACCATCCCTTTAAACCTAACCACCTCACCATCCCACAAACTGTATTTACCTTTAGCAAGGCGTTTCGTCTCCAGCTGTCTCAGTAAGTCAGCGTAGTCTTTAGTGTTGTTCTTCTTAACCGAGTTCCAGGCTTGAAAGAAATCATAAGCGGTGTTCTATTGATAAAAAGACACGAGACTTCGTTTATTCCACATCCACCCAACGAAACACATAGCATATGCAAAACAGAGCTTTTAATCCAACACACGTCTACAATTTGCGTTCACACTAGCACTAAAACACGTTCAGAGTGAGCAGGTTTGAACGAGACACGTTTTTTTTGTAGTTTAAGCTTGTTTGTATTTGCATCGCTCACATTTCTTACCGGTTGAAAGTAACTCTTGGGATTGCCCTTCGTATTTGCTTTTGGCCACCATGTTTAACGTGTTTTGTCTGGCTAAGATCCAAAATACCCCATCACTGGGGTAGTTTCAGGGTGCTTTGCGTTCAACGAAAAATTCCGAAAATTTGGAACACGGGGACAAATGGTACTGACGAAAATTTCTTGGGAAAGTTTCAAGAAATCCAGGAATTTACTAATTTCCGAAAAGCGAACCATTCAACCGAATATCAAATGGAGCGGAAATTTTCGGTACGAAATTTCCGAAAATTTGGGTAGACTTCGCGATGTTGCCCTCTTTTCCGGATGTTTCGGAAAATGCTGTTCCATTCGTCGCTGAAAATTTCCGGAAATTCAAGCCAGAATTTTTCATCGAATGAAAAGCGCCTTCGGTCATGCTTCAAGCAAACGTGTTCGATCATGATGTCGAGCTCAAACCTTTCTGTCGTAAAACATCTCGCTATCTTGATAAGACCTCACATGTCAAGGCTTGAGAGGAACGCAGTAACATAAAGGACAAACAATAACGGGACGTTACAAACCTTGGCAAGCTTGACTGGCTTCACCGCTGCAGGCTCCTGATCTAAGTTTGTCATTGGAACTTCGCCCGGAGGTTTGTTTGAAGAAGACTGTCGTTTTGATGAGGAGACTGGGTGTTCATCATCCTAAGAAACAAATGATAAGGGATCAAAAACAGTTCCATCCCCCGGGGGTACTCCCAAAAAAATATGGTGGGTGTGGCCTGCTTCCCAAAACCCTTACCCTAGTTAAGATCAAAATCTGTGATTTTCCCTACCCTAGTTATTATCTGGCCAAAAATTAGATTCCCTATTTAAGACCTGACCCTTAAATCAATACCCTGTTTCAGACCTGTCTCATAATCAGTTATCTAGTTTAGGCCGATGTTAAAGACATTGTGAAGGGCTTTTGTTGATGGTCTTATCGATGATGGTAAAAAAGTTGCTTCCTCTAAAAAAACGAGTTCAAGACAAGATTGCAAAAACCATATCCTATTTAAGACCAAAACAACCAAAATCGATACCCTATTTACGACCAAAACGACTAAAAAAACATACCCTTTGGGGCTGCACATACCAGGTATCCCATATAAGGGAATGCCCCCNTGGTGTAAGCTCTCGCAAGCCACCAGCCCCCCTAAGCGACCTTTTGGTGGTCGCTTTAATACGGGCGGAAGGTTCGACTGCACCTCCAAGGCTAGTGGTCTCATCATGAAACAGAAGTGCCAAATTGGGCTTGATTTAGTTGGTTCTTAGCTTACGAGCAGGCACACGTTTGGGGAGTATACGCAGAAAGGTGACTTTCCAATGACCTTCAGTTCCTTAGCGCTTCCACACGGGTGTGGACAAAACGTGGGGTAGGCCAATGGTCAAGGCCATGGTGTAGACCATGGTGTGGCCTACTCTATGGCCTACCGGTGGTCAGATTTAAGAAAAACGCTAACAAAACATTAGTAAGAGTCGAACGAGCTAGCTGGCATGAAATTACATCCCTCTAACAGAGTATACTCAAAAGTCACTAACACGATTCTGAACATCAGAGGGAACGAAACAATGCAAACCTTACAGCACTCGGCCTTGAAACATCCTATTTCTCGCTGTCATCGACGACTAGCTTCCCCAGCCAAGCAATCAACCATAACGGCAGAGAGGTACCAATTCTTACATAAGACATTATCTCCTATCGTCTTTCGTAAAAACTCCCGCTGTGGACCTTTTGAGGCTAAACAGCCTAAGAAGCACCAAAACTGCGTTTTTAACCCCTAAAAGGTATGGCAAGCACCCCCGTCATTTATATATGGGATTTCCCCCCCCCCCCCCCCCCCCCCACCCCCCGCCGGGAGTTGCACAAACGCTTTTGTCGGTAGATTTTTACACGGCTTGAGAGTACCCCATATACATGACTGGTCTTGTATGCATCCTTATGGCGACTCTCATTGATTGTTGATTGCGCGGGAAAATTCACAGCTACGCAACCAATCAGATTAACTGCGCGAATCTCTGTATGGCTACGTCATCAGAATGGAATTTTTTCTGGTTGACTCTAAGTTGACTGTGAAGCGGCAAAGCTTTAGCTGTCTGTTTACCCGCGCTTTCGACTAAAACGTCAACCCGTCAAACCTCTTCGTCATTTTCCTGCACGTCCTTGATAGGTATCCTTCTCCATTTTGGCGCCTTCTGTTCATGGTTCGTCTGCGGTGTCTGTTTTTCGGCTTTCTTGTCGTTTGTCTTTTTCTTTGGTTTCTGCTCTTTGGTTTGTGACGACCTTCGTTCCTACACAAACAAACAAACCCCACAATCCTGGTACTTTTTTCATAGCAAAGTTTCGTTTCCGCATACGCTATAACCTGGTTTCGGACTTGCAGTTTTGCTATACTCCAGTACAGGAAGGCATTGCGAGAGTTAAATTTAATGCCAATATAGTGACCAGGCTTAGAGCGTCTAGAGCCGGATTTAAGCATTAGGGCCCTATTCACACTACGCCGGAGGAATTTCAAAAGGCAACAATCATCGGTCATTTTGGATTTGTATTTGAAAAAAACCCGGTCAGGGAAATCACGTGATTATCGTGACGTCATCGTTTACGAAAAGCTCTGTTTTCAAAATGTTCCCCGTCCACACTAAAACGCAAAGCCGGCGTTTTTAAATTCCTTCGATTTGATTTGAATCGTGAAGGATTAGAAAAATTAAAAAAATTAAAAAACGGAATGTTTTGCCTGTACGTCATCACAACAGACTAACAAACTACCTAACTTGTTCCTGTACGAGGTAAAAAAAAAGCAAGAAAGAAACAGTAAACATGTTTGAGTACCTTTCGGCACAAGTCCAACACGATTTCCAGCTCCTTCTTAGCGGCAACGTTCTTTGGTTCAATTTTTTGAAGTGCAAACAGATCTCTGGCGGCAGAATCGTATTGGCACAACGCCTGTCAATCACAAAGAGGACACACAATTACAACAGAGGGTTTCCTTGACTACCACAAGAGCTGAATTGCTGAATGAAGTCATACACTTTTAGCCATATCTGCGATATCTTTTATGAACTGAAAAAGTCGTGGAAAAAACCTTGTGCACGCGTAAACCATGCTAACCTACATTCCTTTTTATAGCTTTAGTGCACAAGTATAGTAATTTCCATCAAAACTAGACCATTGGTTTTAGGTTTTCGTCGATGTTTATTATGGTTTTCACTTCTTGAACACTGCTTGTGATACCGCTCCTTAAAATTTGGACTTCCAACAAACACCATTACTTGAGGTAAGGAAAAGACACGACTTTGTTATAGAAAAGCCCTGCTAGACTGACTCCCGCTTTTAACAAATTTTCAACTTAAAGTATGACTCGAGGAATACATGCATCCTGCTTATTTTCTTTTCATATGCGTGAAACAAACCTTTTTTGCAAGAGCCCTCCGGAAAAGCGCTTTGACATTGTCGGGTTGAAGTCTTAATGCTTCTGTAGTGTCCACTATTGCCAGTTCATGCTACAAACAAAGGAAAAAACATCAACAAAAACAGTCTTGACAAACCACTAAATTCTCAACACTTTTATTGTAAGAAATGTATGGGTTTTGGTAAGGAGAACTGACATATTTACCTGATTAAGCCGCAAGTAACACAGTGCTCTGTTTGTATAAACTGCCACATTTTCCGGGTCAATGTCAGTGCACTCATTATAACATTTAACAGCTTCCTCATAGCGGTTCTGTTCGACAAAAAAAAGAGATTATAATAACATTTCGTTATCCCCGCCTATATGTCTTGGCTAGAGAGAGTGTCGGACAGACAGAGCTTGACAGCTCAGTGCATTTTAGGGGGGTGAGGGGAAGGAGGGCTTTCTGATTTCCATTGGACAGAGTTAGACAGAGGGACTAACTGTATTGATTACTTCCCTTGTGGAAAGGGGGGGGGGGAGAGAAATCCATTGCAGGACCCCCCCCCCCAAAAATTAATGTTTACCCAGATGGTCCTAAAAGATCACCAGTTGACATCAGTTTTATACACCTGGGTGGAGAGAGGCACTGTGAGAGTTAAGTGCCTTGCCCATTAAGAACACAACAAAATAACCCTGGCCAGGGCTCCAACTTTGACTGCACGATCCAGAGTCATTATGCACTAACCATTATGGCTAGACTACCATTTCAAGCTCTCTGGACAATATAGATGAGCTACTGCATGTATCAAAAGTCTTCCTTGGCTCTAAGGCTGAGGGATCACCCTTGTTTTATTCCCCTAAGCCTAGGAGCCAAGTTAGCGTCCATTTTAGAATAATTTTATAGAACTGCAATAAAATACAGATACACTTTTTAACACATATTCTACAAGTGCATGGTCACAAAAGTGCAGTTTGTGCACTCAGGCAAACCTACCTGTTTAACAAAAGAATTTCCCTGATCTTTACACTGTGAAAACCTCACAGCTGGGTCAACAGGAGACTGGACTGTGGAATTACCTGTCACAGGGGAGGGGTCACCAGTGGCAGATGTGCCTCCAGTGGCACCCTCTGTAGGAGAGGGTTGGGCTGCACTTGTTGCACCAATAGTATCATGTGTGGGAGTAGACTCAGTTGTGATTTTTGTGGCACTTATGTCTGACTGTGGTGGGTGGGGATGGTTTGTGTCTTCACTTGCAGTCTGCGTAGGGGTGAGATGAGTCAATGAGTTATCGATTTTAGCTTGGGCAGATGAAGAACTGGGTTTTGGAGGTGATACTTTGTCTTTCCATTCAGGTCCATACAGATTCTCAAGTGATTTGGAAACCCTGGGGAAAAGAGAATCAAATTAAATTTCATGAAAAACAAAATCAAACCAACCCCACCTCCCAAAAAAAAAAAAAAAAAAAA